TCAATATCTCGTGTTTATAACTGCCCTCGGGCTTTCTTGAAACGGCTTTGAAAAACCAATATCAGCTTTTATTTTTTCACTGATGTATTGTGCTCTGATTTATTGTCTATTACCTGCTGTTAAAAGAAACGCTATCATTGCACCAATCAAAATTTGTATTGGTAACAAATTACTCACTGTTCTATTTTTAAATCAATCTTTATGAGGGAAACGGTTATTGATAAACGAAGCTGGTATTGAGGGTGCTCAGTAAATATTCTCTCTTGTGACAAAATTAGTTACATATTCTGAAATTTGAGTTAGTACACGAGTTACAGTATTAATAGATAACTTAAGTACAAAATATGAAAGATATTTAACATATTATCAAGGCAGAGATATTCGTAAACATGTTTCATTTTTCTTGGATTTACTTTATCTGCAAAGTATACTCTAACCGAATGAATCATTGTTGTATTTAGTTAAGTGTAAATTACACTATACTAAAAGCAACTTAATGTATAAGAAAGCTAAAATTGAACATTAAAATGTGTTGGAACTTCTTAACAAATTGAGAGATCAATGTTTATTAAAAGGTGTTGGTGGATTAAAATAACTAGCTTTCAGAAGAATGGATACAGATTTCTCAAACTATCTGTCCTACCAGGAGCTTGAACAAGTAATGAATTTATATGGAGTTGAATTTGATAAAAGCGATCTCCGATTGTTATTTGAATCATTTGACAGGGATAGAAATAAACAGATTTTCTAGAGCTTATTGCTAAACTCAGACCTCCTGTCAAAACTTAGAATCGATGTCATAAACCAAGCATTTGATTTGTTAGATGCAAACAAAGATGGTGTTTTAAAAATGGAAGATTTGAAGAATGAGTAATATAATATTTTATTTTGTGTGTACTTTAAAAAAAAGGTTCAAATTAACCTATGTATACGAATGATTAAATGTTTTATGCTTGTTAGACAGATATGTTATCATTTTTGTGTTCTCATTTCCTTTCTGTAAGAAGGATTGAATGTTTTTGGTAAAAAAAAATAGCTCTTGATCTCAAAGCAATTCAAATAGATATGAACATTAACAAGAAACAGATACAATAACTATTTCCAAACATAATCAATAAAATTCAATTGAACCAGACAGGAAACCATTGTAGTGAAATTGATAAATCTGGGTTGTTTAAGGGAAATCATGATATCACCTCAGGACTGAAGTGTTATGTTTAAAAAAATTTTAATGAAGTGTACAATGTACTCTTTATAATCAATATTTTCTCTATCGACGTGTTCATATTAACTATAATATCTTATTAATAGGTTCTTAACGTCGGAAAAGGTTTATTTAAGTCTATAAAGTATGCTATTTGAATTATATATGTAAAATCTATTATTTACTTGCTTTTTAACTATTTTTATTCTTTTGTTTATTTTTGTGTTCCCATTTTTATTGCAAATATATAGGGCTAAAAGTTACAATAAAAGCACGTGTATTCTGTTTTGGTTTCGAACTGCAGCTAACGTTATGTGTTCATGTGAATTAAAGATATACTATTATGCTCATCTTTGAGTAAAATATTTTAATCGAAGAAATTTATTAAAACATATTAAATTCTTACTGAATATGTTTAATTTAAATAAAAAATGAATAATAAACTATATTGGAATTCACGTTCACTAATACAGGACACGTAAAGTTGGTCTTTTTAAAAAAAAAACTGCCAGTTTTTTTAACGACACTATATATTCATATTGTGACGAACTATGTGTGTAGAGTTTTAAACATGACATATTAACTTTGTGTGAAGTCAAAACATGTTTTTTTCATATTCACAAAGAGACTGTGTAGCAATTATCAATATTTTCTGATATCAAATTTGTGCATAGTATATCTTTAATGATTTCATTGCTTTAAATAAAAAAAAATCTTCTTTAAACCTTTGCTTATAAGTACAAAAATATGTTTCACTTATCAAACATGCGAAATTCCTTTGTAAATCTCGAAATAAAACGCAAATTTATTAAATGCTGCAGCTTTAGATCTTAGCATGAAGGTAAAAAAGTTAAATCTCAATTAGGTAACATTTAGAACGTTCATTCAATTTTTACTAATATTAAAGAATTTCATTTAGTTGCATACCATTAACCACAAGTTGCTTAATTAACTTTTTAACAATAGTAACAACCTGTCATTGTTTCGTCTCCTGGTTTTGGTTGGTGTTATACCTATCTGTGTGCAAGTGGTTCCGTGTTGCTTTATTTTGTCGAGGCTGGGTTTACAGAATACCGACATTTTCTTGGTGATTTTTTTGTCATATTTGTTTTTACTTATCCATGTATTATACAGTTTATATAAGATCGTGTATAATGCGCCACTTTTGTCACTTAACTAACGACATAATCTATTTAAGAAAAATCAATTGCCATATCATATACAAGTGTATAAGTAAGAAAGTAAGTAAGTAAATTCTTTATTATAGTGACATGTGTTATACGTATATACATACACATAAATACACAAAGATGAACACCCGGCCCATAGGACCTATAAGTCACCTTAACAAAAGATCATATTCTGAGCATGTGTTATAGTTTTTAACATGTTATTAACATAATAGTAAATTCACATCAATACATGTTATATACTTATAACTAGTTTATATTTAAGTGGTTGTATCTTTTCAGTCGTCTATTCTACAAACGCAAGAAGACATCCACAGTTTGTATCCGGTGAATGGACCGAAGAACAGGTGCTGCGGAACTTCTTGGATAGTATTGACACACCTGGAAATCCAGATGGTAAAGTAACACGCGAGGAATTCATGAACTATTATGCTGGGGTCAGCTCAACAGTTGATGACGACAGCTATTTTGATCTAATGATGCGTGCGTGCTATGGCTTGCCAAATAAAGGCTCATGAAAATAACGAAGAAACATACATGTTTACCAATTTTTCCCCGAAATAAATGTTATAGTTCACAATACTTGCTTGAATGATTCATATGAGGTTATTTTTGCGGATATTGCTTAGAACAAAGAACATTTTCAATATGAAAAGGAGAAAAATATCTCTTAAGTAAGAATGGATATAAAGTCAGGATCCACTAAAAAGAATTTACTTCTAAAGCGCATGGATGTTAAAGTATAAACGGATTATAAAAAGATTGAAGGGACGTTTAACTCCAGATTTTTTTCTTTAGAAAGGGAAAACATGTGTTTTATAATGTTATAATAGATTTACGAGATGCTTATTACCTGAACATAAAATAGCGTTGAATGTAAATTAAGTTGTGACAAAGAAAGATACGTGTAATCGTTTGAAATACTTTAAAATAGTTTGACTTCCGAAGAGTGACTTACTAACAAGAAGCATTTGATGATAAGGATTAGTTTTAGGATTAATGGGTTTTTGTTGCATAGATAATATCATAAGCATCAAAATATATTATTAACGTGAAAAAAGTGTTTAATAATGAATTATATCCGATATTATTTTGCATCTTGATATGAAATATGTACATATACCTTAAAATATCAATATCATTTCAAAAACGCTACCGATATATTCATATATTTTGTTGTAAAGTATTTCTGATGTATATAAAGAAGTAAGATTTGAAAACAATTCATTATGAAAATTATTCAATTAAACATATGTAGTAAGAGATAAAAGAAATAGAATTACTGATATATATTTACATAATAAATGTTATATATAGATACATAAGCACTTCATATGTTCTCTTAGAGTAGCAGCAGCTGAGTTATTGTATCAAGATCTCATTAAACTGGTGGAAAGATATTCTGAGACATAAAATCCAAGTAGTCATAATTGTAAATATTTTACGACATTACGCTATGTGCCAGTTTCGAATTCGATTCAAGAAGCAGACGCCAAAGAACGCCCTTTTGTTTTAAATGAAAAACTTAAAATATATTTTTAAAGTACAAGCAACGTCAGTAAGCGAGTTAATCATTTTATCATTATGACAAAAAGGACAACTTATCACCTAATCACCATTTTCCTTTAAATATGTTTGACTGACTACATAGAAACTATGGTACTTCAGGTTCATTGATTCTGATACGTTAAATTTTGAAGTTTATGAGTATGTTTTCTTTTTGCACATATGTTTTACATTTGAAATTTGATACTTAACACGACTTTAATTACAAATTGCAAAATGGTTCTGCTTTTGATACAATGATAGAATATTTCATAACGTGTTGAATATCATAAATCACATTGCAAAGATTTCTTTAGGCTTTAAGGTATAAATATTGTCTCTCGTTACTTTAACATATTGTTATTACGTATTTGACTTAAAGTGTTAAATCAATAAGGAATGCACGAATGTATTGCAGTTGAAACTGTCATGGGAGTAGAATATGGTTATCTGTAGAAGTATATGCTAATAGATGAACATTATAACGTTGTTATGGCAACTTTATTAAATCAGTTATGTGTCATTTTATTGATGCAAATTTATAAAGTTAGTTAAAGTAATTAATAATACAAAATTATAGTTAAATTATGTTTTATGAAACAAACTACAATTATTCACGTCAGTGAGTAGCTTGATTTTCTGACAGGAAAATGCTTTTAAGTTTACACTGACGCTGTATATATATTACACAATTCGACATTATTTGCATATAAAGAAAACATGAAAAAAAAACTTTTGCTTGATAAAAAAGGATAATACATCAATTATGGTAAGGCTAAAGGTAAATATTTGGATCTTAATAACATATTAAGTTCTTCCTCACATAAGATCGTGCAACATGTAATATAACGTTGAATACATGTCCCACTGTTTCCTGTAAAATGCGAATAAAAAAATATGCGATCATGATTTTGATTTACAGATTGCTGGCGGGTTATACAGGAGAAAATGATCGTCTGAGAAAAAAAATAACAATATTATTTCATTCTTTCCCGTACGCGACATATTGACAAAAGCAGCAATGTACTTAATGTCCTTAAGAAGAAGAATAGTATTTCAGGGGAAATGCATGACTTCTTTTAAGAAATGATAATACATTTAATGTGAATGTCGCACTTATTACATAATTATCTAGTTGTCATCTCTTCCCGATAATTGGCTATAATCTATTTAATCAAGAATAGTAACAAATAACCAGATTATTCAAATCGAAAGGAGACAATTATTTTGCCAATAGAAATTTTATCAAATAACGGAAATATTTGACAAAACAATAATCAATATTAGATAGAACTTCGCGCGACTAATGGCTTCTTTTTATTGAAATTCTTGTTTTGTTTGCATTTGTATGACACTAAAAGGCTAAAACTATTTCTCCATAGTAAATATGCTATTTGTGACAGTTCATGTTACAAGGTAGCAAATGAAACAGAATATTTCAAAGATTTCCAAGATTTAGTAATGTTAAGGAAATGTTTGTAGAAGGACTCATTTGACTGCTGTGCAAATTTACAATTTAATTCAATCACTGTGGATAGAAACATGGAAAACGAAAACGTAAAACAAATACTGGAGCAAATAAAAGATCAGTGTTTACTTAAAGGAGTTGGTGGAATTAAAGGGCTTACAGTACTTTTTCGTAGAATGGACAAAGATTTTTCAAAGCGATTGTGTTTCAGTGAGTTTTCTCAAGGTATACAGACTTATGGTCTCCATGTAGAAGAAAAAGATATAAGTCTTTTGTTTCAAGTTTTTGATATAAATAAAAGTAACGAAATTGACTTCACTGAATTCTTATCTAAACTTCAACCGGCCATGTCACCCAAGCGTGTTGAAGTAGTCAATCAGGCGTTTGAACTACTTGACGTAAATAATGATGGGGTCTTGAAACTGGAAGATCTAAAAGGTATGTTAATTAGTATCAATCAGTTGTAATTGACAATACATGAGGTTTTAAAGTTTCAGAGCGAAATGCGTATTCCTTGCTGAAAGCATGATTATTATGTTACTCCCTTTTTAATGAAAAAAAAACAAACAAAAACAACTTTAGGTAAATTATTTTATAGGGTCTTTTTAGCGATGTGAATTTTGTAAATAATAGCATTACGTGCTAGTTGCCGTTATTTTCTTATCGATCGATATCTATGTTGTAACAGTTTTTAATACGCATTGCGGTTCAATATATCAGTAAATTCAATTAATCAGATATTTCTTTAAAATACAAAATATATCAAAATCAAATAAATCTTGATATGGTATGGATATGATCAGTTCCATAAGGTATAAATTAACAAACTATAGTCTACATATAGAACAGCAAAAGAAGCCTTCATGCATAAAAGCAAGGAAATAAGAATAGTTTCAGAGGTATATGACTTTTATCGCTTTAACGATAGACTTTTACAGACAGAATACAACTGCTTAAAATTCAAAACATCCACTAGATTGTTTGTCGTACATGTGTGATTATCAAACAGGCGCTGTCTATCTGGTTATTCGAACTTCTTCCTGTCCGTTCTTTATGTAAATCCTGACCTACCACCATTTTAAAGGTTACTTTTGCATTTACCTCATAAACCACGGATGATGACCGCTAAAACCGGCTGTTTATGTGTCTTTGTTCCTTTCATCAACTAAGAATGTGCAAGGAATTGACTTCTCCAGTTACAAACCTAAAACTTATGTTGCTACATCTCATTGAAACCAGTAACCATTTTTTTAAATAACTGCCCTTCGCATTTTTTTTACTTTTGTCTGGACAAAACTCAAATTCTTATGGAGATAATAAATTATCTTTTTGATACTTCAAAAAGATAGATCTCATTGAACAAAAAATTAGGTGCTAAATAATGAATCATAAGTCATAATTATGGCCCTTAGAAGTTTTCATACATAATTTTGTCACAAAAAATATCTCTCTTTTAAGGAAAGGCGCGGTGTCTAAAAAGTATATTTATAACTCTCTATTGCATATGTTTGAGTTATTACTCACTTAAATGTTAGCTCTTGGGCATAACAAAAACAGTATTGCAGATTTCAAGTCGAAACTTCAAGGACGGATAGTTCTCGTTTAGCAAGAGGCACATGCATTGTTAGTTCAATTTTGGAATTATTCCCCTTTGTTTGTTTTCACATTTATTTTCTGTGTCTAGAGAACTTGAAACTTCATAGATTGATAAATCAATTTAAAGGAAAATGCAGTGACTATGAATCATATTTCGTCTTTGCAGAAGTTTGCAAGTTATTGCCCTTTTTTTCTTGCATATCAGACTGGAGTTTCCGTGAGTTTTACCCATGCCGGAAATTTCATCTTGCATGGGGGTTCCAGATGAGTCGCGTGCTGTACAATGGCACGGTTAGGATGACGTCATTTTACCGTTATGAATGAAGTTGTAATTCATACGCTGTTGTAAAAAAGTAGTTACGGTTGTAATGATATAAATTTTCATTGAAAATAAAGATAAAGAATTTAAAATATAATGGAATATGGTAGAATATGCAAGAAAAAACATCTGACATATGTTTGCGGTTCGGATCGGAATATCCGTCCCTCGGTCACCCGCCCATGGGCGGTAACTCGGCAAGCCTCGTTACCGCCCCATGGGCGGGCCACCTCGGGACGGATATTCCGATCCGAACCGCAAAATATGACAGATATTATTTATATTATTTTTCTCCTTTTTTTATTTCTTATCTAGTGTATACCTAGAAACGATGTTTCAACGACTATACTCGCAATAAAGATTTAAATATCTAAAAAGTGATCACAACATTTTTTGTAAGACCTTTAATTAGTTTTACACATGTATCTACCGCAATTATGATTGCAAAATAAATCAGAAGTCATATTAAGTTTAGTAACAATGCTAAAATATTGTGTGCTTTGTATCAAATTTAAACTCTAAAAATAATGCTAAAACTTCAATCACGTGATTTGTACGAAATGCAACAGAATTCCATCATTATATTTATCATTTATTCATTACTTTTATGTTTCGCCTCTTATAATGTTAAAAGTGAACGGTGTTTCATGAACATTTCCGTTGTTTTCTTTTTCTACCGGGCTCATAACAAATTAACCATACTACATATCAAAGTAAAACTTAAAGTGTATGTTTATCTGAGACTTTCTTTTCATAGTATAATTGTATTTCATATGTTTCAGTTGTTTATTCAAGAAACGCAAAAAAACATCCAAAGTTTGTTTCTGGAGAATGGACAGAAGAACAAGTACTACAGCACTTTTTAAATAGTATAGATACTCCCGGTAATCCAGATGGCAAGGTGACACGTGAGGAGTTCATGAACTACTATGCCGGAGTGAGTTCAACAGTAGATGATGATAGCTACTTCGATCTCATGATGCGGGCATGTTATGGCCTGCCGAATAGTGGTACATAAGGGGGCATATGAAAGGCAACATATCATAAAATAAAATTTAAATTATTATATATTGTAATAGACATACTCTTGCAAGATGTACCGACGTTTTTGAATATAAAGTTTGGATAAATGTAATACAAAAACAACATTGATAATTGTGTAGCATGTTTATCATTTTTGGTTATGCTTGTTACGTGTTTCTTGTCCGATTTCATTCTGCGCAATTTTGTTGTACTTGAAGGCAACACACAATGTTACAAGTGTCCGTTGAGATCAATTTGGTCCGCGCAATATATATCACAGCATTGTGTTTAGATATATAGATACTATGCCATGCTTTATGCGATTTTAGGTATTCTTTTGTAGATTAATTATATTTAAAGCCACATGGATTTTAAGGAAAAATTGTGATATATTGTTATACATATAAAATTGAAAACATTTGAAAACGAGGAAACAGTTCAGTCATGGCCATGAAGTCTCGACTATTTTACGATACTATAAATAATGCACTGTTAATGAACAAGTCATGCCTGCAAATATGCTAAAATTACAATTATTTCTCACATAATTCTTATGTAAAAGCATTTAAATGTATGTATAATTACGATTCGTTATTGTCATCTTATTTGTTGTAAGTATGTAATTGTTTTCAAATTGTCAATGTTCATAAACTGTGCTTGTTAAATTATTTGTAAATGCTAAACAATTTGTAAAATAAAATTATTAACATGTTTTGCTTTGTCATTATGCCTTTCAAAACATGTACGAATCAATATACCAAAATAGTTAATATTTAATTTTCTTTTTATTATAGGGTAAACGCACGTTTTTCCGTGTTACAACGTCTGCAGAGTACCGAGGGACGGTTCGTGCAACAATTCCGAGGGACTCTGCAGACTTTATAGTGCATCGACGCTATTATAGCATAAAATGTTAAAACAGATTTATGATGTATATTTAATTCAAAACACATACATTAAATCCTTGTGCTTAGGCGGTATTTATCCAGTTCTACATGTTTTACGTATCCGTTCTATTTTTCCGGGGCCAACAATTTGGGAAATACAAATGCTCAGAACCGAACGAAATTTCGAATTTTAATTGATTTAACAAAGCTTAACATTGGAGATTTATTATCTCAAGAAAAAGACATTAAATAACTGTACCTAATACAAAACATGACCCTCAGAAATTCCTAGAATGATTTCAGTTTGATGGTAGAAAAAAGATCAGTGACATCAGAATCGTTTTTTTAAGCACACACGTTTATAAAAAAAATCAGGCACTAAACATTATTCTCTCAAAGAAATATAATGGGCATTCATCAATATAAACATCAATAAAACAACATTTTCTCATATTAATTTTGTGTTTTCTTGTTTTGTAAGTTGATTGGAGGATTGCGTTCATTGAACGCCGCCTTTCCTTGTTGATCTTGTTTTTCATATTTTAAACTTACTGACAGATATTTGTTTACATTGACAACTGTCCGTTTCTTAGAAAGGGCGACAACTAAGATAAGCGGATATGTCTAAAAGCCGTATATCCGGCATAGTTACTTGAATGCTGCTGACCGATATGCTATTGAGGTCCTCGAATCAATAATTTCAATATAACAAGAGCACATGACTCTTTGGCAAACAGACCAAATCGTTAATTTTTGTTTGTTTGTTTACTGGGCCCTTTATGTATTTAGCAAATGTAAAATCGGGCTATAACAAGAGCGAGTGACTATGTTAACACATGGTTTTAGTCCCGTAATAACATGGGCAAAGAAGGGAAAAATAGCCGATTTTATGCTATTAATGCCATTATACCACAAATAATCAGCCTTGAATTGACTCAAAGATCAAACAGGATCGTCTAGCATATGAGCATTAGTCTGTCTGATACGTAACACACGTTTTGTACGTTTTTTGTTTGTTTTTTTTTACAATACGAATCATATTTAAGTTATTCAGATAGATCTGTATACTATATGTAAGTTACTCTTTATTTCATGAAACGAAAGCATAATTCAGTTTCTTATCGTAGCTGTCGTAATATTAGATAAACCAAAGATCAAAAAAAAATGTTAACAGTCTCAAATCGGAATAGAATTTCCACACATTACTTTTTCCAATGAAAGCTTACACATTGAGGTTAAACAAACTACATGTGTTACATTTTTTTTGGAGTCGACTAAGATCTCTTAGCCAAAGGCCTTGCTACTTGCATTGCATTAAGTAAAATGCAATCACATCGGGATTACAAGATAATTTTCCGATATTTTTTTTCATTTTATATTATCAAATAATATCCTAAAAAAATATAGCTTTTTTATGTCATTTGCTTTACTTTAAATCAAATCAGTAAAACAGAATGGAATATTTTCTGTTGCTTTGTAACACTACTGGGTCAGTTTCCTTAACGTTTAAGTATTTCTACTAACGATTTTTTGGTAAATAAGATCAAACTATCCCATTGATATTTTATGAGAAATCAAATTAAGTTAAATGTACCCATCCGCAGTTTTTTTCTGCCTTTATGTGTGTTGGTATGTTGTATTAATGTGAGAAAATATTTTTGTATAATATTCAGCATTGCTTGATAAAGATACGAAAGACTATTTTCATTGTTCTATTTTCAATTACATTTTCTTACTTATACACAAGCTTTATATAAAACAACGTTAATACGACACATTCTTTATATAATATTTACAACAATTACTTTTAATGACATATTATAAAATAAATTTTCCATGCCAACGTTATCATATAACCAGTTTACAGTTATATATTTCCACAAAATGGCCACATTCAATTCCCATGGCAGTAAAAATTATAGCTTCGTGCATACATGATCGTTGAGTTTAAGTTATTAGAATGAAACATTAACAATTGTTTTTCAAAACAATTTTTACAAAATCACGTAGGAGATTTATCACATGCTAGCAAATCAAAAAGTAGTCTTTAATAGTAGCTTATATTTTCAAATTAGTTTTTATGTTTGTTGTTGTTTAAAAGATGTTTGTATAAAGCTGTGTGTAAACAAAATAAAATATCGCGGGACAAATATTTTGTTACCAATTTAAAAAGGTTTTAAACCAGTTATAAGTAATTATGTGCATTGCCATTTGCTCAAAACGAATTATACCTACATATTTCTTGCACACAGGCATTTTTTAATTATCATTGTTAAATCAAATAAAATGTAAACAACAAACAGCAAAAATATAGCTTTAGATTAGAAATGTATCAAAGTGTATTTAAGGCTTTGGTTTTCTGCTTAAGCCGGTGCTAGGGGGCGTGGACGGTAGTTTGCACTTAACAGTACCGTCCATGAACAGGCTCAATCAAACCGAGCCTGCAACATTTTCAATTTTGTCGCGTTGGGTGTTCTATAGGGATTCTTTTTTCACTATATTTGACAATTGATAAGACTTATTTTGGTTAAGGTACGTCGCACCAGCACAGTACAGGTTTACTGGTAGAGAAATACCTCAAGTACCCTCGCGTGCAATATTTAAGGCAAGAACGGACCTCTGAATAGAACCACTGAAGCTAGTTGTCATGTCATACAATATTGCTTACAAGAATTCTCATTCCCTTTGATATCACAGGTTTTATTACAAAGAATGGCTTTTCACAACGGCAAACGAATCGTAATTTCTCTAACTTTTTTTTCTTATAAACAGTACTTTCTTTAGATTTATCAGGCATGAGCAATAATGTAATGAAAATGTTGCAGGCTCGGATTCATTAAGCTTGTTCAAAAACAGTACTGTCAAGTGCAAACTACACTCCACGCCCCCTAGTACCAGTTTAAGCAAAATTCAACATTTTTAACATGAAAATGGTGAAATTTTGAATTTAGAAACATCCGATGTGTTCATCATATAACCTTCAATGTGACACTTTCGTGCTATTCCATGAATTGCGGTGTATGGTCCTTAAGTTAACGAAAACATTCGTCCAAAAACGAGACAACAATGGAATTTTGAAAGGGGATCAGAAGTTATGAAGCCTGCTTTTCACAGATATTGTGTGAAAAGTTAAAAAGCAGGCATCATATCCTAAGGGTGGATCATACTAAATCATTTTACATTTATTCAAACTAACCATAAACAAGAGGGCCATGATGGCCCTAGATCGCTCACCTGACCCATCAAACTCATCCAAACAATAACCTAGACAAGCATTCTGACCACGTCTCATGACAGGTGAGTCAAAAATGTGACCACTACAGTGTTAACAAGGATTATCCATATTTGAGCAGTGTGACCTAGTTTTTTACCCAGGTGACCCATATTCAAACTTGACTTAGAAATCATCAAAACAAACTTTCAGATCAATTTCCAGGATACTTGGATCAAAACAGTAGCAACTAGAGTGTTAACAAGATTTTTCTATTTTTAGCTCCGGTGACCTAGTTTCACATGCGATTTCGAACTCATCCGAGCAATTACCTAGACAAGCATCCTGACCAAGTTTGATGATAATTGAGTCGAAAATGTGACCACTAGAATGTTAACAAGTTTTTTCCATATTTGGGCGGTGTGACCTAGTTTTTCATCCAAGATGACCCATGTTCGAACTTGATTTAGAAATCATCAAAACAAACTGTCAGACCAATTTACAGGATATTTGGATCAAAACAGTAGCCACTAGAGTGTTAACAATATTTTTCTATTTTTAGTTTTTCATCCGAGATGACCAATGTTCAAACTCATCCAAGCTATCAACTAGACAAACATCCTGACCAAGTTTGATGATGATTGAGGTAAAATTGTGACCGCTAGAGTGTTAACAAGGTTTTTCTATTTTTAGCTCTTGTTACCTAGTTTTTCATCCGAGATGACCCATGTTCGACCTCATCCGAGCTATCAACTAGATAAGCATCCTGACCAAGTTTGATGATGATTGAGGCAAAAATGTGACCACTGGAGTTTTAACAAGGTTTTTCTATTTTTAGCTCTGGTGACCTAGTTTTTCATCTGAGATGACCCATATTCGAACTCATGCAGGCTATTACCTAGACAAGCATCCTGACCAAGTTTGATGATGATTGAGGCAAAAATGTGACCGCTAGTGTGTTAACAAGGTTTTTCTATTTTTAGCTCAGGTGACCTATTCTTTTCATCAAGGATCACCCATGTTCGAACTCATGCAAGCTATCACCTAGACAAGCATCTTGACCAAAATTGATGTTGATTGATGCAAAAATGTGACCGCTAGAGTGTTAACAAAGTTTTTTTTATTTTTAGCTCCAGTGACCTACTTTTTCATCTGAGATGACCCATGTTCGAACTCATCCGAGCTATCACCTAGACAAGCTTCCTGACCAAGTTTGATGATGATTGATGCCAAAATGTGACCGCTAGAGTGTAAACAAGGTTTTTCTATTTTTAGCTCCGGTGACCTACTTTTTCATCCGAGATGACCCATGTTCGAACTCATCCAAGCTATCACCTAGACAAACATCCTGACCAAGTTTGATGATGATTGAGGTAAAATTGTGACCTCTAGAGTGTTAACAAGGTTTTTCTATTTTTAGCTCTTGTGACCTAGTTTTTCATCCGAGATGACCCATGTTCGAACAAATCCGAGCTATCAACTAGATAAGCATCCTGACCACGTTTGATGATGATTGAGGCAAAAATGTGACCGCTGGAGTGTTAACAAGGTTTTTCTATTTTTAGCTCCAGTGACCTAGTTTTTCATCCGAGATGACCCATGTTCGAACTCATCCGAGCTATCACCTAGATAAGCATCCTGACCAAGTTTGATGATGATTGATGCAAAAATGTGACCGCTAGAGTATTAACAAAGTTTTTCTATTTTTAGCTCCGGTGACCTACTTTTTCATCCGAGATGACCCATGTTCGAACTCATACGAGCTATCAACTAGATAAGCATCCTGACCAAGTTTGATGATGATTGAGGCAAAAATGCGACCGTTACAGTGTTAACAACAAAATGTGAACGGACGACGGACGACGGACAATCATCGATCCTAAAAGCTCACCCTGAGCATGCTCAGGTGAGCTAAAAATGTAAATAACATTAAAAAAACAATAAAAAACATCTGAGGTAACCTTTATTCTAATCTTTTCAGAAATATTTTATTTCTTTATGTTATGTTGAATTATGTTGAATTAATTGTTTTTCAAATAAAATAATACATGCATCAGTAGTAGTATTTGAAATAAAACAATTTTAGACATATATTTAAATGAAAATAAAGCTTGTTCAAGGAAAATATGGACATGAAATATTGCGTTTTCCTTAAACAACTTGAGAAATTTGACAATAAATATAATCACTTTTTTCTTCCCCATATTGCATTATCCATCAGAGAAGAAAATATAAGCAAATTACTTACTTCATAATGTACTGTTAATAATTATGGAGATTGAGTAAAAGTATAAACATTTGTATCAACACTATTTCAATTTTCCAAAATATCAATTACAATTCTGTGAGCATGTTCATGTAATTGAAATAAGATTTTCTTTTAAAATAAATATCGAGAAAAATATCATAATTGAAGTTGACATTAAATTCTAAAGTATTCTGAAGAAGCCATTTTAAATGACTCTATATTATAGCACAAACTTAATATTTTCGATCTTCATTCATTGTTATAAAGACTTAAGAAATTTGATGAGAGTCTGGAATAAATGTATTAAATTTAATTGCTCCAATTACGCAGCTTTATTGGCGTATTTCAGTCTTAAATTTTATAATCATTTCCTGTAATTGTTTTATCAAAAGCTCAGAAAATCCCTTAACAGCTGAATTGTTGCATTCATTACTGATAGACATCTATGCGCTTGAGTAACAAGTCCTTAATGATAATTACAGTTCAAAATGTATTTTCTGATGTAGAACAAATTGACATGTAAATAATAAATTATATCACCAAGTCGTAATTACTGTAGGGAAATAAACGTTTTACTAAGAAAGCAATAAGAACTTATGACATTTAAATGTCTAATGTCACGCCTTTAACAGCTAACATGATGGCCAGTCCGTACGTGTATCCATTTACACCTGGATGAAGTTAAATAATGTGGAATTTTTGCTTTTTGCTTTTGACGATATGATTGTCAACAGGACTTTAACAATTAAGTCAAGCTTTTATTACAATACAACGGTAAGTTTTCTTTTGTTTAACTTATTAAACATAGTTCAATACATCATTTTAAAGTATCTAATTGCATGACAAGATTATTACAGTAATTCTTAAGGAATAATTGAATCAAAGAACTATTTTATTTAACAATGTTTAGATATGAATATTACTCTTATAGATATATAAATTATTTACAATCAAGACTAATGGACATTTTTTAGATAAGTTAATATTAATTTCCATTTCTTTTCTAGAAGTAGTTCCCAATTCTTATATTGAAAATGATCATATCCTTTTATATTAGTCAAGTTTGGCGAACCATAGCAACTAAAAAAATAAACAATTATTAGTTGATATTTCTGTTCTTTGTTTCACGATCCTCTGTTTGGCAAGCCATAGCACGCCCGCATCATAAGATCGAAATAGCTGTCATCATCAACGGTTGAACTGACACCAGCATAATAGTTCATGAATTCTTCACGTGTCACTTTGCCATCCGGATTTCCAGGTGTATCGATACTGTCCAAGAAGTTCCGGAGCACCTGTTCTTCAGTCCATTCACCGGATACAAACTTTGGATGTCTTCTTGCGTTTGTAGAATAGACGACTGAAATAAAAAAAACACACACTTGTTCATTTTCATCACAGATACCAATATGGCGTTTTTTCCTTATAAAGATAATGAAAACAAAAATAATGATATTTTAAGAACACTTTATGTCACATTAAAATTACTTGCAATATAAGTGAAACAATTTGTTTTGTTAAGTACGCAACTAAATATATTTCTTAAATTTTTGAATAAATGGTTGCTTATTGAAAATAAAAAGATGGTAGCCACGGCATTATATCGTTATTCTTTATTTATTATTATTTATTTTTTTTTTGGATTTTCGGTTTCTCGGTACTGTTTTAAACAACATGGGCATATTCATTTATGGTGAAGATAATAGTTATATTAACTTCACACTCAAATGTAAATTTTACTTTCACGAAAACTAATGCTGTACAAAGGAAATAAGCATTTTAAGTAGTAAGAAAATCTCATTTTTAAATTGATAGTAAACACTTGAGCATTCTATTCATTTACAGTATTACATGAAATGAAAACATCAATTCAAATTTAAAAAAACCCCCGATGTAAATATTTAAACCCGACAAGTGGGATTTTTGCCTTTATTATTATAATATTATATATCCAAAAAGTGATATTTCCTTTTGCATTTTTTAAACTTGCCGTTTTAGACTTTCACATATGAAAAACTACCTAAGTTATACGCGAATTGATAAAAACATGTTAGCAGAGAATATTGAATATTAAAAGGAAATTGCACACTTCGGAAGGTAACAGATCACTTCAGTTGCGTTGCTGTGATTCAACGACTTCTCTAAACAACCTTGTTTAATCAATATCACCCCAAGGATTTCCTGTAACAGAATTAGCTGTATCGCCTAGTTACAACATTGATTATTTTGATTTCCCCCTTTTTTCAAATTTTAAATTTTAAAAACTTCCTGTTTAAAAATTTTTTTTAATTTTCCCTTTTGAGAACCAATAGCTAAAACTTAAGTAAACTGCCCCTTTTCTTTATATCTTTTAAGGGAAATGAAAAAGTTTTTGGGGATTACAAAAATTATGTTTATACTTACGTTTAAAAACCCGATTTATAAAAACATAGGTTAATGAATGCTTTTTAATTTCAAAAATAATTTCCCATTTAAAAAAGGTATTATTTTTTTTTACTCCCCCTCTTAAAATTTCTTCCAATTTAAATTTTACCCCCTCTTTTTTGCACCCAAAACAAATCAAATGTTTTCGTTAATGAAAAGGGTTTTCAAAATTTTGGACAAAAGGAAAGGCCTAAATTTTTGGGAAAATAAGCTTAAAAGTCTATCTTTTTATTTCTATCCCTGTCAAATGAATCAAATAACATTCGGAGATCGCTTTTATCAAATTCAATACCATACAATTTCAATCCCTTCTTCAAGCTCTTGATAGCACAAACACTTTGAAAAGTCAGTATCCATTCTTCTGAAAGCAACAGCTAGTGATTTTAATCCACCAACACCTTTTAATAAAACATTGATCCTCAATTTTTCAAGAAGTTCAAATACTCGCTTATGTTCAATTATAACTTGCTTGTACATCTTGTTAGTTGACCTTAAAGAATCGGATTACAGCTCAGATTTTACTTATATCATGTTACAAATTCATATATTCGTTTTTAAATTCGTAAATTTTGTAGATAAGTTAATTAAAAAACAACTTGATAAACATCCTTTGCTAAAAAACATGTCAACAAATATGCACGTCATTTGATCACAAAAGTATTTTCATTTTAAGAATTTAAACATATTTAATATATTCCATTCAACTGTAGTTAATGAACTTAGTTAGTGTTCCTAAGAAATATTCATGTGGAAAAACGTTTTACTCAGTTCCATATCCTAACACAATAAAGAACTCAGCAAACTAAACATCAGTTACGTTTATCCTGAAATTGATCAATAACTGTATACCTCATGAAGCTTGATTTAAAAATAGAACTGTGAGTAATTTGTAACCGATACAAGTTACGATTGGTGCAAATTAACAACAGGTAAAAAGACAATTATTTAGAAGCGTAACGGTAAAAACTGATATTGGTTTTTTCCCAAGCGGTTTTAAGCAAGCCCTGAGCAAACGTATATGTTATTACCTTGAAATTTTGATAATTGTACATACAATGTTTTCATGCAATATTCTATTTGCTTTTCCCTTATTATTAAAATACATAGTTTGTGAGGTGTGACAACGTTAAGTAACCCTGTCATGTGTATAGGCAGCAAAAGAAAGTCATACATAAACAAACAATGATGCATTCGTTTTTGTTTTTTTATCCTTTTTCACATTATATGCCTAAAAGAAACGTATTGAATCTAGATTTTAGACTTATCAACGGCGCATGTTTCTAAAGAAAATATAGCTAGAATATATAAAGAATTTAAAGATGTATTATTGTTCAGTAATTCAGTCCCTTCTTTATAATAAATATACATTGCTTGAACGACTTTTAAGACTGTATTGACCAAAACAAGAGTTTGTCTATTTTGAATACTTGAACTGATGTTGCCGCTTGTATAGCTGGGACATCATGAAAAATTATTTGATGATACTGTAATGGTATTTTAAAGACTTTGAATTATTGGAAACATTCGATTTATTTTCATTCTAGCTTGTGGGTAGTAATTAAGAGGTATTTCTGAACGCTAACAAAAAACTGAACTGTTTTAATCAATTGCGTACAGCTAATGCAAAAACGAAAAATGTGACAATTTCAATAAAGTTTGCAATAAATTAACATAATTATTCTAACATTTTAATGACATTTTTGAGTTGCATTGTTTGTAAACATCACTTCAGAAGAATCGGAAGGATTTTGGAATGGTATGCATGTGAAAGAAGGCCCATATTCATATATTTCAAGGATTGACAAAAATAAATGGACATTAAATCAAATTTAAGAATTAATAGATGAAAACTTTTTTTTTCAATTAATATTATCTATCATTGAATAATGCTTTGCAAAAGGTGTTTTGTTCATGTAAATGTTTTAGAAAAAAATCTAAATTGTGATTTTCGGCACAAAGCAAAAACCATAGCACCTAACTACTTGTAATATACTACTTTCAACCGGAAATAATAAATACATGTATTAGAAATCATTTGTTGCTGATATTAAAATTTAACATAAAATATCTCAACATTGCTTTAATAAAAAAATAATAAAATAAATAAAAAAAACAAACAAACAAATCAAAAGGAAGCACGCTAAACGCTAATGGAATATTTAACTATTTTAATGAACTGTGGATTTCTTTTCAATGCAATTATTTACGTTTGAAATTCGTTTGAATTTTATTTAAAACACTTTTTACATTATAAAACTATAACTAATAAATTATTTATAGTGATTTAACATTGGTAAATAAACTCTAATGAAACAGATAGAAAAACTACTATCGTAACTGTTATATGTTGCCTCTAGAGAGTAAAATATTACATATACAACAATATACCAGACGCCTTAGTACAGGGCAAAGCAGGGAGATACATTGAGGTAAATGTATGTTATAAATATTTATAGATATTATAAATAATTATAGATATAAAACTCGAAATATAATTCTATTTTTATCCACTAATACATTCCTTTATATAACTTTAATGTCTAAAACAGAAAATAGGTCGAAGAAGATGAAAACAATTCCAAAACGATGCATATTATGTGTGAAGTAATGCATATAAATAAGTTCTGTGACTTGTAATAATTCTTTGATTTAGTTAAGATGAAGAAGCAATATATGCATTACATTTCGTTTGTCAAAACTAGTGAAAAAGTTATTTGTACATTATGAAATGCATACTTGTATTGACAGGAAATTGACGAAGTGTGTGTTAAAATGCATTACTTTTATTACTTTACTACTTTGCAAATTACTTACTTATAAGTTACTTTGAAAATGCGTATTATTTCGCCACGTCTATTGGCCATGTTAATATAGTTTTGCCACGTGTAGATAGTTTGGCTACTTCTATATAGTTTGAGTACGTCTATAGAGAGAGAATGATGATTTTAAGTGCCAGCATACCACTTTCAAAAACAACTGTTTAGGATGAGAACTTTTAAGATTTGTTTGTTTGACATTTCTCATATGTAAATCTATTATTATATAATATATGGGAAAACCAAAGGAGTTGTCTCACCTTCAAAGTACATTAATCCTTCCCCGTTTTAGTTATGCAAATGATAAACCATTTCGTTCCTTCTTTTTCTTATATTATCACGTATACACTTCTAAAATTTACCCATTTATGTGAGTTGAGTTGAGTTTATTGGCTAACCTATATATAAGATGCATAACATTGGATGCATCTATTTCATTAATTAAAATTGCAGGGTAACGACTAAAAGTTAAGATGGCTTATTTATGCAATGTTTTATTATCAGTTTATCTCCACGATAATGCAAAACACTAAGAGGAAAAAAACAAGAATAACAAATAGAGTGACTTTGTCTACGTTATTTGCATTTCTCATGTCCAAGGCATAAAACAGAAACTACGTTTCACAAAATATAATATAGAAGTGTTAGAAAATCTACCAATTGTAAATAATATATAAAAACAACAAACTTTCAATGTACGAATGTTTGGATTCCATCTTGTTCAACCTTTTTAGCAACTCACCATTTTTATTTGTTTGGGTCGTCAGACCAAACAAATAATGTTAGCGAAATTTCAGACCCTGATGCTGTTAATTGCAAATGCCGAAAGTAGTCCGCTTTTCAGAAGCGGTTACTTCCCTTTATATGTACACTAACGCCGAAAAATTCAGGGGAGATCACTGCGTAAAGATTTTCAAATGACAGGCGCATTAATTTTCAAGCAAAATAGTTTCCGAATGGTCGAAGATTTCTTATATTGTTTTATTCATTATAGATATACATGCTTATAGTAATCTCCATGATTATTTACATCTGTGTTAAACAACAGGTTTCGAAATAATAAGGGTTACAAACCCTAATTTAGAATAATGTGGTTTTCTTCAGGCCCTTTTCACATAAC